AATTACTTAATCTTTTCCTGATTCCTTTTTCTCCCCTTTATCTACCTTTGCACTGTTTTATGCCTCTACATTATACCCCAGGGTGTTCATAGAAAGAAAGAAGGAAACCTCTTGTCTGCTTCTCACTTCTTACTGTCTGTGAATACTTATAAATCTTCCCAAAGATGCCTTATTTTATTCAACTAAAATTAGTAATAAAATACCAGTGTAACTTATTGAAAGATGATTTTACATATATTTTAGTTCTCATCGAGAAACTTGATACTAGTTTCATAGAAACCAAATAACTGACTCACCTACTCCCTCTTGTGGTAAATATTTAGTTTTATCCAAAATGCTTTTGTTTGTAGTTATTAACTCTTGATATCATTTTACCAATGAGAACAGAGATTTGGATAGCCCAGGAGATTTAAAAAATCATTTAGATTGGGCTTTGTAATAATCAGGAGAGTGTGGCTAGTGTGTTCAACCCGGGCTGCATGTTAGGGTTACCTGTAGAGCCTGGGCCACACCCTGAGGGATTCCGTCTACCTCTTTGGGGTGGGACCCAAGCATTTACAGTTTAAATCAAATTAAATTTAATTTACTTTTAAATTTAATTTACAAATTCTCAGGTTATTCTGATATGCAGTCGAGGTTGAGAACTACTTATATAGGTTATGGTTTTGGTTCCACAACTAACCAGTTCTGTATATAAGGAGAGGGCACATTATAATTTCAAATGATTTGTACCCATCTTGTACTTTACAGTGTGGGAGGCAGTTTTACGTAACTTACATGATTTTTCCCAGGGACCCATTTTATACAGTAGGAAAGACTTCCAACGGTGACTGGTCTCCAATTATACCGCTGTTAAGAGGAGGAACCAGGATTGGAAATGAAGACATCTGCTCTTAAATCCACTATCTTTCTCACCACCCCAGTGTTTAGATCTCAGAGTCTGCAGTTGAAGTGATGGATCTTGAATTGGTTCATTTTTAGAGCTCTCTTAAGTTATGTATTATGAAGTACTCTTTGCTTGTGGCTATGTTCTGTAAATTAGCTTTACCCAAAATACTGAAGGCACTGAGAACTTCATTCAGATGTTGTGTGGAGCTGTCAGATTTCCCTGGCCTGCCTCAGGCAGGTTTCTGCCCTGTACACCACACTCAGACAGCTTTCAGAGTAGGGGGAAGCTGGAGTGTTGGGCGTCATATTAGGTCAACAGATGTGTAGATGTAAGTAAGAAATGTAGATATTGCATAGACACTTGGTACCTAAACCTGATAGGTATTGACCTGTATGTGGAAGGTTTGATTATTGACTAACTGGTAGATGATAAATGAGCCAGCTTAGATCCAACTACTACGAAAGTAAAGCAGTCTCTAGATATTATTATATTGGAATTTTATTATATTTGTTATTGCTCTTAATAAATGGGCTTTTGCCAGCCTTAAAAATCATTTCTAATGTTATATGGGATACTTAGGTTTTTCTAATAACCATATTTGTCTTAATAAACTTCGACTTTTATGTGTTTCTGTTTTCTCTTTAATATTTAGCTATTAAAGGTAGTGGTCAACTGTTAGTACTTTCTCTTTTTTAATAAGCATTATAAAAGTTAAGCCTTTATTATTTCGTAGAAAAATCTCCACATTGGCAAATACAAATAATATTGGAATTTATTGAATACAAAGTTGAATTTATGCTTCATCTGTTAGATGGTATTAGGTGTTAATACTGTTTTACATACGGTTTCATTTTTTTCCATTGACAGCTTGTACTTTTCTATTAGAATTATTTTATAGTTATTTTGTTTATTTGAAAATCTTATACTCTTATTTTGTTCATCTCTTTGACTAGCGTGTTATTTTTTGATTGAAAAAGTTATGCATGCATACAGTTAAGACACACTTTAGACAAAAGGTGTAATGATGAAAATGTCTCCTTCCCACCTCAGACCCCTTAGTCTCCTTCCTCAGAAGCAGCCAAATATGGTTTTTTAGTTTTCTCCATTTTATTTTTCTGTTCTGTTTAAGACAGATGTCAAATATGAGTTGTAACAAACAGCATCACTACATTTTTATCTTGCACTTGTGTTCTAGTTGTATATCACATTCTAAATAGATGAGATATTGGTGACATTACTATTTAAATTCTACCTTTTATTAATGTATTATTTTTGATTTATTTTTTTACATATGTTAATTGCTATTCAGTTTATTAGTGATAAAGATATGTCTCATGTTATTTTAAAATTCTCTCCATTAAAAAATCATAAATGGTGTTTGCACTAGAAATTAATGTTTAGTATATTCTGTGTGTGTGATTATAATATTGTCAGACAAGTCCTTTGTAAATGAAATTATCTATATCTTGTGGCAAGGTGATGTGAAATACAAATTAGGTGAAAAACATTCTTAGGAAATTTTCTTAACAAACCTTAAACTTTATTTCCAAAAGTTGCCAGTTTGCTTTTAGGCAATAAGCAGAAAGCAAGAAAAGGAAAAAGAGACCAGTGGTGTCTTAGGTGACAACATCCTGTGTAGTCCCTTTTGATCTAGAACTCTGAAGTTCAGACTCCCTCTGTTAAATAAGACAGTTTGAAATATTGAATAGAAGCTTGATTTCCAGATTCTTTGCTTGACACCTTTATTATAGTGCTTATGCATTTGGTCTTACAGGAAACTTCAAATTCCAGCAATATTGACCTTTTTTATTGATCTTTTATCCATGTAGCCCTAGTTTTGTTTTTTCATAAAAATGGTTGATTAGTATAACTAGGTTCTTAAGGGGTAATGAAAATATAAAAGTCTCTGTTATGTTTTACATTCAGTGGGTCACCTTAAAGGAGTAAAAGGAAAATTAGATTCATTTCATAGAGCAATATTTTCTGTACTGTGTACTGAATGTTAAGTAAGTGTAGTTTAATTGGAGTGTTTTAAATGAGGAAAAATTTATTCAGTGTTTCCTAACATTCTTTGTTTCCTTATGGAAATTCAAGTTTTCAAAATATTCAGATTCAATACTAAGTTAAAAAGTGATGGCACTCTGTGTGCTTCTCTAAGTTTAATTTTTTTGCCCCTTTTATTTTTTGAAAAAAGGAAATTTTAGTTTTAGTCAGTTTATCTATGGTAATAATAAGGAATTATAAGAGGTCTCAAATGATATTGGACTGATGTTCCAGTTTTCAGAGGAAGACCAACTGCTCGACAGTAAGGAAACAAAAAACAAGAAGAAAAACATTTAAGATTGTATCAGTCAGAATAACTTATTTTAAAAAGTATAAAAACATTGCAAAGGAAGTTAATTCTATCTCTTGTTTGATGGCTCAAGTACCTTTCTCTTTAATCTTTTTATATGAATATATTTTTCAAGTAGAATCAATTTTTTAAAAAAATAATACTAATCAGGGGCCAGCCCCATGGCGTAGCGGTTAAGTGCGCACGCTCTGCTGCTGGCGACCCGGCTTCGAATCCCGGGTGAGCACCGACGCACCACTTGTCAGTCCACACTGTGGCAGCGTTCCACATAACGTGGAGGAAGATCAGCATGGATGTTAGCTCAAGGCCAGTCTTCTTCAGCAAAAACGAGGAGGATTGGCGTGGGTCAGGGCTGATCTTCCTCAGAAAAAAAGAAAAGAAAAGAAAATAATACTAATCAAGGGCTGGCCCACTGGTATAGTTGTTAAATTCTCGTGTTCTGCTTTGGCGGCCTGGGGTTTGCGAGTTCGGATCCCGGGTGCAGACCTACACACTGCTTATTAAGCTATGCTGTGGCAGACATCCCAGATATAAAGTAGAGGAAGATGGGCACAGATGTTAGCCCAGGGCTAACCTTCCTCACCAAAAAAAAAAAAAAAAAAAAAAAAATCAAATACAATATGATAGAAATATGATAGGTTAAAGCATTACCTTTATCTGATTTTGGCTTGAAGATAGTATCTGAATATTTTGGTTTAATTTTTATAGTGTAAGTAGTTCCTAGATCACAAACCATTTTTTTCATGTGCCCTCTGAGCATTCAAACACAATAATTGATGACTGTGATTTTTTTTGTTGTTGTTATTTTAAAATTCTTAGAAGTCGGTAGAGCTCCAGTATATACAAATATTGTACTTTTGCTGATATTCAGTAGGGGTCACATCCAGTTAAGTAGTTTCTAAGATACAGAAAATAAGTACATATAAGATACAGAAAATAAATAACATATACACACTTTTTCCTAGGAGACCAATCTCAAAGTAAAACAAAAATATAACCAAACTGTTGAGTGAAAAACCTGGTTGACTCAGTTTGAGAAGTTGGAAAGGAACCTTATGCACAGTAGCCTTAGGAAACGTGAATTTCGTTGGCCATATTCTCAGTGAGCAGGTACCAGGGTGGGCAAAGGAGCCGTCCCAAGATCATCTGGGGCTGAGAAAGGTCTCCCCTATTTCTCATTTCTGGAATGTCACTCATCCTTGGCTATGTGTGAAAAGAAATGCTGAGTGAGAAGTGTGAAGTATGCTGGAACAGAAGAGTAAAATCAGCTCTGCAAAGAGCACCACATTCTGCTCGACAATGGGAGCTCCAAAAAGCAGACTGTGGTCTTTGTCCTCGAGGAATTTAACATTTATTGGGTAGCGGTGGGGTGCTGTGAGATGTTTCTATAATATCCATGTTAGCCTTTGGTTTCAGTCATTTTAGAATTACCAAACTTTTGACAAATGATAAATGAAAATATAATGGTAAAGAACTTAGACTTCATTTAGAAATATGATTATGTCTTTGGCAGTATTGTCCTGACAGATAAGCTGCTCCCTTGAGAGAACTCTGTATGACTTATTTTTTCTGATTTTTTTCAGTTGTTGTTAAAGCAATGTAAATAAATTTCCATTCAGCTTTTGAAATCTGTGGCTAGCAGATACTCACATATTTCAAGCCCTGTTTAAATGCTCCTGTGGTATATGAGCAGAAAATAAAAGAGTCTGTAAAGACATATTAATATTTTTTATAAAAATGCTGCTGCTACGATTGCAGGTCCTTTTGGAATAAATCATGGGATTGAGCTTCATTCAGATGTGGTGGAATATGCCAAGGAAAAACTGGAGAGCTTCATCAAAAATAGTGATAGCTTTGATAAGTAAGTATTCATATCTATAGTTTGGGTTTGAAAGCACTTGATAAATAGCTACGTGTGACATATCTGTACTTCAATGCTATGGTTTATTGAACCTGAATTGCTCAACTGAATGCAGCAAAAATGAGTGTGGTATAAAATGAGAGAATAAATTGTTAGAAAAATTATTCTATGCTGTAATTTTTATTCTGTGTAAGTCTATAGTAAATTATAAATAAATATCTTTTATTTGTTAATTTTATGCTACTGTCACTTTATTAGTAGGGTAATGTTCCATTCGTTAAACATCATACAAGTACCTTTTCTGAAGATATAATGTAAAGATGCTTGGCATTAGAATACTTTTCTGGAACTGTTTTATACTTTTGGTAGTGATGTAATAATTAGGTTCTCTTTATTTGTAATGTGAGAGTGAAACTGTTAGCATACAAAAGACTTTCTTAAAAACATTGTCACTTTGTAATATATCTAGAGGAAACTACAATAAAAATAATATATTGATATATCTTGAGATAGAGTTGTGTATAAAACCATCGTTTTAAACTCATACTTTCCCTTGAAGAAAGACTGCCCAGGCTTTGGTTCTTGAGCTTGTCAGGAAGTCTATTTGGTGCATAATGTTCGTAAAATTAAGCAGTGATAAATCCATGGAGCAAGGGCTTCTTATGCTAATGTCCAGTAACTCGGTGAAACCTATGTAAAGTGTGGAGGGCATTTATTTCTCTCAACTAGTCATATTTTCAGAGAAAGAAAGCCTTAAAAAGGATAGGAATTGCAAGCTTAGAACTCAGTCATTTTATATAACAAAGTTTTAGTGCAAAAGCATTCAGAGTTCCAACTCGGTTTGTTGGGAGTGGCCCTTCCTCACTTCCTCTCTAGGCCCTGGCCATGACCGTGACCCTGGGGATGAGAGACTTGGGGGAATCTGGATCAGAGCTGAGACATTTTTCTAGAGAGTTGAGGCTTGGGGGATAGTGCCAAGAGGAAAGCCGAGAAGACCCTGTGCGTGTCCCGGGGTGTTTCCTTTCTCTCCCTTCCTCTGCCCCTCCTCCTTCCCCAGGGCCTCTTCTCTTCATTCCCCTTGCCCCTGCCAGTTTGTGTCTACCCTCTGGCAAGTGGCACTTGATTGGTTGAAGAATAGAACATTGGTGTGCTGTAGCAAAATCCTCAGTGTCTTAGAGGGAAGGGGAGGTCTTGGTCTGCCTAGGAGTGATTGTAACTGGGTTGTTCAAGACTCCAGTCGGGCAAGCTTGAGAGAGTTGGGAAATGCTTAGGGTTTATTTTATTCTATAATTATGATGGCTTTGAGCAAGACACTTGAATTTTCTGCAATTTGCTGAACATGATTCTTTATCTTATTTATACTTTATAAATAACATTTAATTCACATTTTGAATCATTTTTCAAGGGTTTACCGTGTTGGTCCATATTCTGAGAATAATATATTGTTGGACAGAAATAAATTTTAACCCGTTATTTTATAAGAAATTGGGATTAAATTTTAGCATCGCTTTGTGTTTTCATCATTTGTATCTTATGATTAGTAGCACAGTAAGTGCTTAAGATATGGACATGAATATTTTTTATATTGTTTACTAGGCCTATAGAATTTTGTTGAATTTATTGAATTCCTGCTGTTTTAAGTAATTTGTTTTGATGTTGAAACTTAATGTACACATAAGGACCTTTTGAATACATTTGAGCTTAGAAAATATAAACGTAATATTAAGCAAATGTTTAAGGTCTATTGTAAGATCCAATATATTAGATAGTAATACATTTCATATGAATACATGAAGGCAACAGATAATTCAGTTTTGGGTCATTAATCAGGCAGAACAAACTCAAGGAAGAAGCTTGAATCACTGAAGCGCCTCTAAGCATCTGTGGAGCTCAAGTTTATGGCTGACAAGTGGGCATGGTCCTGGAAAATAGTAAACTGTCGTTACTTAAAGCATTTCTATGTTGATGGAATTTAAATATTAAATAATCCGTAACAGATAAAGTTTGTAGACTATATATTTAGGTATCTCAGGTTTTAAAAATTTTCTAAAATTGTTTTCATGTAATTGTAAAATGATCAAATTTTCTTGCCTTGTATTTCTTGCGTTTTATTTGTTGTTGCTGTTATGCAGATTTGTTATTCATAAAATGATGAATCATAAAACATGGTGATGACTGATATAGATGTTTCTTTATAATTTTTAATGGTTTTGTTATTTTAGTTAATCAGACTTTATAATAGTTGTTTCTGAAGTGTTGCAACCTATTTTTAAAACAGATTCTAATATTAATAAACTAGTTTGAAAAAATTCGTTCTGAAAATGTTATATATTCTGGTTTTCAAGTAGTGTTCTGAAATATTAGTTATTAATTTCAGATTATAAAAGTATCTTGCATACAAAGAGTAGTAGGTAGTGGGAAAATGTTTCATTCTACATAAAGTAGTGAGTGGTTTGAAGTTAAGTAATCCAAGTTGATGAGTCATTCAATGGGCTCCCTTTTGGTCTTTTTATATCGTTTGGTTTTGGTGACAGAAATTATAAAGATATAGTAGTTTTCTTCCTATCCTGTGTTTTGATGATTTCTTTGCAAGTTTTCTTGATGTTTGTGGATAATATTTCTACTTATTTTCAATTTTTAACTGAAAAACTTGCCATACAAGTAATTGGAAAAATCTCATTTCCAAGCAGTTTTATTTTACTTAATTATATACAGGGCATCAAAATACGTATTTTAAGGAAATATAAAGTAATCCAGGAAAATTAATTGCTAGTTATGTATTCCTTAGTACTAGATTGTACTTGATTATATGTAAGATAGAGAGAATAGATAGCTAAAACCTAATACTCTTCCAATGTTATTTATCCTGCTGCTTTGGATCTTTTTTATCAGTTCCTTTTTTCAAAAGTATTGTCATATCACTGATGGTTTAAATCGCATCTTTAAAGTTCTCTGTTGGGGATTATAGTGAACCCAAATATAGTAGGTGGGAAGTAATTCATTAACTACTCAGCATTAGAATATACAATGTAAAATGACCTTTTAAAAAATACAAATGTGTGTTTTTGTGTGTGCTTTATAAAAGGAAACTTGGTTCCTGAGTCTTAAAAGTGGTACTCCTTTTAGAAAAAAAATCATTATTATAATGTATGTACTTTTAAAATATCTTTCTATGTCTTAGTCCTATATCAGCAAATGAAATAATTTTGAGAGGTTACTCTGAATTTACTGTGCTTGGAGGTTGTAGGGAAGGGGGAGCTCTCTTGTATGGTTAGTCCTTTGCTTTACTTATGGTATTACCAGATTCATTGAAATTCCCTCATAACACTGACATTTAATTTCAAGGGTCCTCTAAAACGTTGACAAACTTTTCTAGTAAAGGATCAGATTGTAAATATTTTAGGCTTCCTGGGCTAAATGGTCTCTGTTGCAACTGCTCAACTCTGCCATTGTAGTACAAAAGCACCATAGATGCTATGTAAAGGCATGGACATGGGGTGTTCTAGCAATGCTTTGTTTACAAAAACAAGTGGCAGGCTGGATTTGGCCTGTTATCCATAGTATGCTGAGGCCTGTTCTACTCTTCACACAGACTCTCCAGAACATGTTTATTTTAACCCACTCTGATCTAGACAGGTCTTGGGGCCTAGATTTTAAAGGCCCTTAGGTGTCTGGCTTTCACGAGGAAAGGAGAAGTTTGGGAAAGGTCAAATTATATGAATCTGTATTTGTACACGTACAGTAAGCAGAATAATCCCTCCGGCTGTAGTTACTTGGAAGAGTGAGTGAGTTAAAGGAGCCTAAATTTTAAACCTTTACTCTGTAAATACTTTGCAAATAAATGCTATGCGAATTACCAACTTATTTATAGCTACATTTCTGTATTTATGTAATATGTATACATGTGCATGTAGTTGAGTTGGCTTCCTAGAATGGATGCTTTATAGAGTGTGCCATTTCCTTGTAAAGCAATAGATCCTATCTCCCCTCCCCTCCAAGGATACTGTAGCTGATTTTGGAAGTATTCTAATATGCCAAATGAGTGCAGCATAGTTTGGTTTATTGAGGATTTTCATTCTATTTGAACAGAAGACCATTGTTTCTATATAGTTTGTCATATAAATGAGTCATGATATGAGTACTGGAAACAGTAATGAGATGTTAAAAAATAATATAACCTAGTACAGCCATGCGCCACGTAACAACGTTTCGGTCAACAATGGACCACACGTACGACAGTGGTCCCATAAGATTAGTACCATAGAGCCTAGGTCTGTGTAAGTACACTCTGTGTTGTTCTCACAATGATGAAATCGCCTAACGATGTATTTCTTATGATGTATCCCTATTGTTAAGTGACGTGTGACTGTAGGCATTATCTGTTCATTAAGTACATTATACTGTTCTAAGTGCTTTATCCACAGTACTAGAGGCAGTACTGGTGTCCACATTTCCCAGATGGGATAACTGAGACAGGCTGTAACCTGAGCTAGGCCAGTCTGTTTAGTTCTGATTTAGCTATGATGATGTCAGCACTAGTTTATTCTAATATTTCTTCCCAGCAGTAAACTGCTACCAATGAATTACAGTTTAGCAACTTAGCTTCAAACATAAAAGTTGAAGCTGTGCTTTTATTTTCATCATTTATTTCCTTCAGATTAGAATTAAAGAGTAATTGTTAACATGGTTAAATGCACTATAGCATTTTTATTAGAGAGCACCCCTACCCTGTTCATTAATGAGTCTTACTACCTATGTTGTGAATTACTGTTGGAGGCAGGGATGAGTTGGAGAGGCAATGCATTCCTCAAATTTAGTTGAGGTATAAGTTTTAAATTAAATTGAATTAGTATAATTTTTTGTATTTTATAAGGTTTAATTGATTTATGGCAATATCTAGTGTCCTCATTTTATTTTTAGTTAGAGGTTCATTTTCCATGTGATTCTATTTGCATTGGAAAAATTAAATGCTTCTGTCCTGTCAACTTTATCACTAGAAT